TCTTTCAACGCTTTCTTGTTCCATTATATGAAAAATACTAAAATCTCACATTTGACTAAAACTATTTAACTATATTCAAAATTCGTAACAATATATGTATGTGCATATATGCACTTAATTACTCTGATTTATTATACAAAATTTTGTTTAGAACAATGAAAAATTTGATTAAAATAATGAAAATTTCTATTCAGTGCGCATCTTAGGGTTTCCTTCATTACCAAGAGTTTTTCGCGTAAGATACACATGGCCTGTGTCTCGCTGTTCGTCTGTTCCGAACATGGCTGACAAACTACAGCGTGTCTAAATTCTTGCAGTAATTACGTAATACTACTATAGAATAGAGAGAGTTTATATGTGTGGTTCGTAATTTATAGTAGGATCGTAAAGTGAATAAAAGTTCTAAAATCTGAATTGATTGCATATAACTAAGCGCCGAGTCTCCAGTTGTGGTAGTGAAATAGTTAGTTGTGTCTTTTGCATTTTTCGGAGGTCAGATTGCCATAAAGTTTGAATACGACTGGCTTAAAATATTTTATATAGGCTAATTTGCAATGCGCTAATTGGGTTTCAAATTTTGGTATAGTTTTCAATTTTGATATTTATTTCGCGAATTAATTAATTTTTTAAGACACGTTTAGATTATCAGTAGGAAACGTTTAATTCTGTAAATTTTTAATTTCATTTAACGTATAATGAGATTTATAGACTAACGTGGTCTTTGTTTGTCTGTTGCATCAGAATGCACATGCATTATATAGAGCAGTGTTTCTAAACCGCCGGTCCGCAAGAAATATTTGCCGATCCGCGAATTTGCCGGTTATTTTTGTCTTCATGATTTATTCATGAAATCGGCTCGGTTTAAAAAGAGTCTGAAAATACCATTTTTTTTTTTCAGTTTTCAATATGCAAATAAAATGTATCAAAATGTTTAGTATATTACCGAACGATCTTATTGTTAAACTATTAACGTAAAATATTAAGTTCGTGGTTCAATAGCAAGCGCGCAGAATTGTGCTGAACATCAAAACTAATGACGGAGCGTAAAAGACAGCATTGAGAACGCGACCGCAAGCAATAAAATTGCTATTCAAAAAATGATCGTAAAAGTTTTGGGTAAATATTAAAAGTCCGCCACATCGCTGATGTAATATTTTACTATCGAGATGCAAGCTTGACGTTCAAGATGGACGGCCTGGCTATTTGACACACCGAAATGGATTGAAATAAATTGCTTTCTGAATGGGAAGTTAAAGCAAGCTCAAATAAATGCATACAACTGTTTACATTTCAACAACCTAGACAAATATAACTAAAAAAATATGCAGCCTTACTTTTGTGTTTGATAAAAGAATATGAAAATATATTCTAAGATTTTCGGAAAAGAAATCCAAAATATTTGTATTTTTGGGATTCGTTTTACAGCTGATATAGATATTGTCAATAAATTATCAAATAGAATACACATATTTGCAATCTGATATTAAGGTCAGAGAAAATTTTATAATATGTCCTTGTTGAAATTTTATAAATCATGCCTACCGAGAGATAAATATGCTCCACTATACAGTGATGCGTAACTGGTTGTCATCATGATTTGGCAATACGTGCATTTGTGAACAAATGTTTTAATAATGAAGCATACTAAAAGTAAAATTAGCGCCAGAACACTGAAGAAACTTCTCGAGAACTCGCTGAGAATTACAACCCCTTCAATAGAACTAGATTTTAAGGAATTAGTTTCGCAATATTTAGTAATTATTACTTCTGTGGTTCTACGAATTATTTATTTAGTTAGGAACAGTTAGGTTATCAGGAATAGTTTCGCAATTTTTATGCTGAATATGATATTAATTTTATGATTTGCTGTAATTACAACTAAAATTTACAATGAAATTTTATGTATCAAATGTCAAATAAAATGTTAAGATACTTCTCGATTGCTGTCACTATATAATAAAAGAAAATAATAAATTAATAAATTTTTTTTAATTACTTTTATATATATATTAGCTAATTTTTGTCATCACCTATCGCTAGTGTTAGTTGGTGAAGGCTGGACGTATGAATCAAGAAAACCATTGATACACTTTAAATTTTCTATATATGCGCTTTCTTATGTATATAGTACACTCTAAGTAAATTTGAAATAACGCAGTCAAACCCGTATGTTTCTCTCGAAGAGGTGAAATTCAAAAATTAAAAATTTGTTTCCTCAATCAAACCTATGCAATTATGTGATTTGCTTATTTGGAGAGTTTCCACAGATAATAGAAATTATTAGGGTAGCAGAAAAAAAATCTCGTCTGCTTCCAGTGTAGCTAAAAGGTTGGACTCCTCTTCACGAAAGCATCAAACAGAATATAGAGCCTCTGCGCTATGTATGCTGAATGCCTGTATTCAAGCGAGTATCCAAATAAGAGAGGTTTCTGATTATTTAATTATTTGCCAGATTATATATGAAGTTTTTTGTTTTATTGGAGCAAGCAAACTTTAAATGTAAGGGCATTTTTTGCTTATAGTGGGTGATTTGCCGGCAGCCAAGTGTTTAAAATTGCTGAATTTCACTGGTAGTTTGGTCCGTGCCTGATAATACGACGATCTTTGTGAAGTTAAAAATATAGTTACTTTGCTGCCAAATTAAATTACTCCTTAAAACGTTAGACTTACAAGATGTTTTAATATTTAAAAATTTATCAGAAAGCCTTTACTGTGATTTCAATACTTATAAAAGCTTCAGGCGGCGCTTGGAAAACCGCTCCTGAATAAAATATAATTGAAGTTATTAAAGCATAAATCGATTTTTTTTTTTTTTAAAGTTTCGAAACTGCTGATTTTGTTTCACTCGACGAGTATGGCATTCCCCTTAATATTGAGAAAGTATCTCTAGATAAGGATTTTAAAATTTCTTTGAAATTTATTCAAGTTCACGCCAAATGTTGAATAGACGTCAGACAAGCTTTAAATCAAATATCTGACGGAAAAGCTAACGGCCTGATAGCTTTTTCGAGTAATAACACAACTAAGAATATGAGTACTTAATTGCTAAATCGAGCAGATGAAATAAATGCAGACGAATTTATTTGAAAGTCACCGCTACGCCAAACAGGGCATCGCAGTTTTATTTGAGTATTCGGTCGCTAAAACCTCAATATAGGTATTACTAATTTTAAAATGTATAGAGCTCAAAATTTTACGGAAAAAGTGGTCAGTAACGAATAGTTATAATTTATTTTTTCGAAATAAGTATCTTCTCAAACTGCAAACATTACTTTAAAAGTCATGGCATTGGAATCGAAACCTGTTTCCATGTCAGATGCATTTCTTGAAGAAATCTGAAATTTGTGTAAACATAAAGAACTAAATTTTTGAAGTATTTCACAGTACAAACTGTATAAGATGAATTTCTTTGTTTACGAGTTAGTAAACGGTTATCAGAGATTTTTCAAAAACGTTATCAGAGATAAATGCTAGTATTGATTCATAGGAATGAACGAGAAATTCATGCATTTGTTTAGAAACAGAAACGAAGTATTTGTGGAATTTCCTGCGTGACAAAGTTTCAGTTTTTAAAACTTTTTTTATCTAAGTCTACATGTGTGACATAATTTACGTGAATGAACTCGGCGCGGAAAATTTATTCTGACTGACGAAAAAATTGATCTGCATTGTGTTACAAGATTTTGTTTACTTAAATTTAATTTTTTTTAAATCTACATGTCTGCAATCAATTTGTGCACCAGATTTCAATTATCATTATACAAGGTGCAATAAAACTAAAACTTAATTATGAAACTAAAATCTGCTAACAGAGACTTTAATGCCAAGTCTTCTAAATAATCAGTTCTTTATCTTCAACTTTTGAATGAGATTTCTGCCAGAGTTTTTAAATTTTCATAGGTGTTGTCCATGTTCATTTTTAATACGAATCAAACTAATATAAAACTGAACTCAAAACCATTAAAATCTTAAAACTTCTCTAAACGTTTGATAAAAATTAGTGTCATAATACTGCAAATTAACTGAACGTAAAAATGTGTTCGCCGACCAAGTAACATTACTTCGACGGTCTCTTGTTTCAGACCGCTGAGTTACAGGATTAGTGTTTTTGTCGTTTGAAATGCTAATTCGTAACAGACTTTCAGTTTAATACATCATGGATTTTGATGAGAAATCCCATTTCTTTTGTTAGCTCAAAGATAGCGCAAACCGCACGGGAAACTGGTTTACAAACTGAGCTCTCGAGTTGGGTAAAACTTATTACAAATTTGAGTTACCTGTAAGCACTCTATCGAACGACGAACATACGAAATAGTTTTATTATTATTTTAAATTATAGCTGCCCCTAATTCTAATATAATCTTTAAAATATGTTGAACCAGAGGACAATCTAACAAATAAAAGAACAAATTTATTGGAAAAAAAAAATTCCAAATTCTCTCCAAAGCAATTTAAAATTTCAGGAGAATTCCTAAGGTTTCGCAGACTAAATTCTTTCAGTGGATACCCAGTGAATTAACAAATTTCAGATATACGAGGGGTGATCCAAAAAGTTTACAAGGCAAATGAAAAAGTATTTATTAACATTAGAAACAAGATACAAATGGGAATCATGAGACACATCTGGCCTTCACTTTTCCACATAGTCGCCAAACCTGTTTAGGCATTTGTCGGAACGTTCGACCAACTTGTTTATCCCGTCTTGGTCGTAATCAGGGCCCTGCTCATTGAGCCATTTCTCGGCAGCTGTTTTCACTGCATCGTCTGAGGTGAACCGTGTTCCGGATAAGTATCGCTTCAACGCCGGAAAAATAAAATAGTCACTTCGGGCCAAATCGGGATTGTATGGGGGGTGATTCCGGACCTCCCACTTGAACCTTTGCAGCAGGCTTTACGCAATTTCGTCAAGGTGGCACAATAACGATCGCCCTTAATGGTATGGCCACGCTCCAAATACTCGATTAGGATAACACCAGTCGTATCCCAGAAAACGGTTGCCATCACTTTACCGGCAGAGGTGTGTGACCTAACTTCTTCCTTGATCCAGCGTGTTTCCACTTCATCGTGGCTCTTTTGGATGTGGGGGTGAAGTGATGAGGCCATGTTTCATCACCGGTAACGATGCGATCAATGAAGTGTTGGCCGTCTGAATGGTATCGCTGAAGAAATGTGAGGCTGCACATCATTCGAGTGGCCTTATGCTCCGCGGACAACGCACGTGGAACCCAGCGGGCACAAACTTTGGAATATCGCAACTCATCGGTTACGATACGCTGAACGTTACCATAACTCAGGTCCAACTCTGAGGCAATCTCACGCACGGTTACTCGTCGATCCCTTTGGATGATTTCTTCAACACGTGCCGTGTTGATATCCGTCCTTGAAGAACTTGGACGGCCGCTCGCTTCCATATTGCGGTTTTCCACATGCTCCCTGCCCGCTTGATAAGAACGACACCATTTCGCTACCTGTTGTCTACTCATTGCTTTGTCCCCGTATACCTCAACGATTTGTCTGTGAATTTCGGATGCGGCCACATTCTTGGCCCATAAGAATCGAATTACGGCTCGCACCTCTATGCGAGACCACTTTTCTAGACGTCGTGCCATTACTGTCGCTCTTAAGTGTCTGCGTACTGACGCTACTTACTCGTAGAACCGCTGTAGGACAACTAGCGCCATCTGTCAACCACCCTGGGTGGAAATATTCGCTCCACAATTATTACGTTTCAAATGCTTCTGCTTGTAAACTTTTTTTTGGATCAACCTACGTACTTTTACTTATTTTTAATTCCGCTACACATGGGCCTAATGATCATGTTCTAAATATTTATATGTTATCTAAATTACAGGTATAATATATTTCAATGTCTTTTACTCCAGTCTGGCCTTAAATGTGATCAACATTATTCAACTTCGCAGAAACGAAACTCTACTTACCTTAACTCTGATCAACCTCTACTTTATTAATGGATAACAAAATTTATGTTGAATAGTTAAACGAACTCCATAATTTTATACGTACTTAGACATTTGTCTAAGTAATTATTATGCGACTCATTACGTCTTCAAAGAAGTGAAATCTAAGTAGAACGTTTACTTCGATTGCCTGGGAGTGAAGTCTGTTAGGAGACGTATCTGTCCATTTTTGACGAATAAAAGGCTAAGAATTCTTTCAGCAAATTAAAGATGTAAATCTTGTTATGTAGATAACAAATTCTATATCGTTACTGATTGAAGTCCTTGAGCTTTTTAAATAACAGTAAAGATTCCTTTATTTCCAGTTGAAACTGTTAAATTGCTTAAGTTCACGCCGGGAAATAATGTTATGAATCTACTTCACGGCACCAATGTTATATAGAAGAAAGTTTCGACCCCAACGTTAAAATAGCTTTACTTCAAGTACCATGTTATATCTGAAATTCCTATATGTTAAATGTTAAATATGAAATACTTGCCGTGAAAGGTAGGTAGTGATCGTTGTGAAAACTTTACAGCATTTTTGCGTTGTGAAAAAAAATGCATCCCGGGACCGCGCCGTGAGAGGATCGAAAACATAAGAAAAAATATACAAGAAATATAGCAAAAAACATATTAAATATATAAAGAAAACATACGTAAGAGGTTCCAGATTAAATGTCAGTTTATTCAAGTACATCACAATAAGAAAAAATCTTAACCTCAATCTGAGAGTCTTTTCATTTAAATTCATAAAAAAAACTAAGGTTTGTCTGGTAATTTAAAAGAAAGGAAAGGGAAAACATTTAAGGCATGAGAGTTAAATTTTAGATTCGACGTGTTTTTACTGCTAAGGACGTTTTTGAAAAGCTTGCCTAAAGTTCAAACACACCAAAAAAAAATAAAACTTATCTTGAGGGGACATCTTGAAGTGGAGGACTCTTATCTTATCAAGCGTTGATGTCGGCCGGCTCATCTTGACACTGGTTCTAAAATGTAGACTCCCTTCACCACTGTAGAACAGAAACAGGAGCACTGCTGCCCAGGACGGCTATCCGCTTGGTCCTGAAAGTCCTATGTCAACACGCAGGTAACTCGTTCAAATTCGCCTCTTTACCAGCACACACCGCAAGGAAAGAGGGTTTTCAGCCTCAGGTCAGAAACGTTGTTTTTCTAGGCAATTACGGCTCGCCTGTTCTTACTCATCCCAAGAGCAAGCTTCACGAGTAACGTCCCAAGTAAGTTCCACCCGCCAGTCAGTAAAGAGAGAGAATCCAACTCGAATTTCCTTCAAGCCAGTTTTCAAGAGCAAACGTCCACAAGTCCAGCAACCCGAAAGTCAGCGAATCCAAGCGTGAGTGCGTAAGCGAGTGAATCCAACTCGAATTTCCTTCGTCTCCTTCACAAACGCGGGCTCCCACTATGGCTTCACTTATCGCCCCCTTAATTAAGCCAAATCTTCGTTTTCAACTCCAGAAGCGGAAATAAGGGTGATCGCGCCATGCGCGCCCTTCTTCACTTAGCCAACAACCGGACCCTTAATCGCCAAAAACCTGAATGACTTACATTGAAAGACAAGTAGCAACCTTTGACCTTTCTGTCACGTACTTTCCTCTCTTAAGGTCAACTAACAATGAAAATTCCTTTCCCGAACATTCTAAAGGACAAAGCGCGCGAAATCCTGACTTGGCAAAAATTGCCTCCCTTTCCCTGCCTTCTTTCACAATGAATAAAAGTTGGTACAAGATTTGCAAATAAAAGAAAATAAATAATATCATTTTAAACTAAATAATATTTCAAGAAGCATCTGTTTTTCCCCAAAATTAAAGCCTTAAAATAAATAATTCATAATTAAGAACAATAACACGCCGAATAAATACTAATTCAGAAGTCAAACAACAAAAAATCAGCGTTAATTTACAAAATTTCACAGGACTAGTTTCGATGGTTTTACCGAACCATCATCTTCAGCTGCAAAAACCGCAAATGAACAAGATAGGAAATAATGTTTAGATAAGATAAGAAAGCCTGGACAAGAATAAGCAAGTGGCGCCATCTGTTGGCGAAACCAGAACTAAAACATATTTCTCTAAAAGCCGAAGGCAAAATTTGGATTGGAATTAGGATCGTTAACTAGAACAGAAAGATTTTTATGAATGTGAAATTCCTCTAGAAAATCCAGTTCTCCAATGGAAGATGTTTTGAATAATTTTGGCAGCAGAAAAATTGAAAGTGTGATTTTCGGACCAACAATGTTGAGCAACAGAAGACTTCTGTGTTTCCTTTTTTCTAACATATGCCTCATGTTCTTTGACGCGAAATTTAAGGCTCTCTTAGTTTGGCCAATGTAAATTAAACCGCACTGGCAAGGAATCCTATAAATACCCCAGGAATTCATATCCGGATGGGGTCCTTGAGTATAGAAGTTGGAATTTTATTGATGGGAGAGTAAACAACCCGAAATTTAAATTTCTGCAAAATATGTGCAACTTTATAGCTAATTGATTTAAATAGAGTTCTTTCAACAATGAATTCTATTGATCCTGCTATTCAGTTCACTTTTGAACTTGAGACTTGCAATTCTCTTCCGTTTCTCGACATTCTGGTCACACGTAACACATCCAACTTCAGTACTACAGTTTTACCGTAAACCTTCATCGGTTTGCCTTCCACCACACTTTAAATCATGTCATCCGACTAAACAAAAGTTAGCTTCATTTTATTCCTATGTATTTCCGTGCTCTTCAAGTTTGCTCCTCCAAACTAACCCTTGATGAAGAACTAAATTATTTAAAAGCAATAGCTATTGACAGGGGCTTTTCACCCAACATTATAATCAAGCAGTTAAAAAATTCTATCTCAACACACTAAAAGCCCACTCTATTTTAGGAGATTATAAAAATTCTGTTGTCATTCCCTTCTTTCCATCATTAGCTATAAAGTTGCACATATTTTGCAGAAAATTTAACTTCGGGTTGTTTACTCTCCCATCAATAAAATTCCAACTTCTATACTCAGGACCCCATTCCGGATATGAATTCCTGGGGTATTTATAGGATTC